TGCTGCTGGGTGGCCCAGAGGCCCACGCTGCAGCCGAGGCCCATGGCATCCAGCTGCACTCACTGGATCTCCACGTGGGGACTCGGGTGCTGTGACTCAGGCAGAGGGGGGCATGCGGGGGCCTGGTGTCCCAGGTGCTGCCTGGGCCCTGCCCTTCCACGCCAGTTGCTCGCGCTTAGATCACAGGCCAGGCCTAGGGCCCACACCCATGCACAAATTTTGTGGACTGGACCTCTAGTTTAGAATAAAAGGTCAGATAAAGATCTTTAGAGACAAGAAAAAGCTAAAGGAGTTCATCACCACCAAACTAGTATCACATGAAATGTTAAAGGGTATTCTTTAAGAAGAGGAAGAAGAAGAAGAAAACGATAAAAAATATGAACAATAAAATGGCAATAAATACATATCTATCAATAATTGAATCTAAAAATAAAAATAAATGAACAAGATATCTAAAGAACAAAATAAACTGATGAATAAAAAAGAATCAGAGGCATGGAAACATGGAATAGGCTGACGAATCTCAGAAGGAAGGAGAGTAGGGGGGATGGGAAGAGATTAACCAAGGATCTTATATGCATATATGCATTACCTTTGGACACAGACAATAGGGTGGTAAAGGCCTGGGACAGAGTGGGAACCGGGTGGAGGAGGGGAGCTATGGGGAAAAAAGAGGAACATCTGTAATAATCTGAACAATAAAGATTTATTTAAAAAAAGAAAAAGAAAAAAGAAAAAAATACCCCTGGTCAGTGTGGCTCAGTTGATTGGTTATGGTCCCATGAACCAAAAGATGGCCGGTTTGACCGCCGGTTTGATTCCCCATCAGGGCACAGGCCTGGGTTGCAGGCTCCACCCCCAGTAAGGGGTGGGGCATGCAGGAGGCAGCCAATCGATGTTTTTCTCTCTTGGATGTTTTTATCTCTCCCACCCTCTCTCTGAAATCAATAAAAATTTTAAAAAAGAAATAAACATAGTAATTTTGGATAAGTGGTAGATGAAATAAATCAAAACAGGAATTTAACAGATTATGATAGAGGTAGGTGATAGTAAGACGATAGTATGGAAGTGCAAGAGGTATAGTCACTTTTTAAAGTGCCTATATGGACAAAATTCTGTAAAGAGAAAGAGATATTGGGTTTTGCTGGATGTAAGGTCTTTCAACAAATCTTGAATAAGTACACCCTCATTTCATTCATCCAAACCCTAAGACACCCGAAGAATAAAATCCAAATTCTTTTGCTTAGATGTAAAGATGTTTAAAATCTGGTCCTGCTCTGCCTTTCCAGAATTATTTCATGTTAGCCATGATACCATGGACACTGGATATGTGAAATCAGGAAAGAGAATGGCACTCAGTTTTCAGATTTTATTTAAACGGGTATCAATAATAAAGGTAGGGAATACAAGGTGGGGGCGGGGGGAGAAAGTTTGGGATAAGGATGTTAATAGGCTGAGTTCAAAGGGCCTTAGACAACTGCAGAAAGATATCCAATAGACTGATGACAAACAATGGTCTCAGAATAAAGGCTGAGCCTAGAATTCTAGACACAGGAGTTACTGACACACATAGTTGGTAATGAAATCATTTAGGGAGAACTTATTAATTGAAAAGAAAAAGGAAAGTGAAGGATCAATACACTAGAATTTTAGGGCACAACAATATTTTAAGGACAGAGAAAAGACAAG